TGATAATAATAATAGATATCTTTATTTTAGTTTTTTTTATCCAATTGCCAATAAAATAAATACATTTTTAGATTTGCTACTGTAGCTCTGATTCAGTCTCAATTTAGGATAAAGTAAAATTCTCTTTTGCAGCCTCTAATTAAAGTACTCTGATCTGAAGTAAAAGTAGTAAACAACAGTGTAAAAGTACTCTATTACAAGTTAAAATCATGTATTCAAAATCTAAATAAAAGTACAAAAGTATCAGCATGACAATACTTAAAGTACCAAAAGTCAAAGTGCAGAATAAAATAAATTAAAATAAAATGCTATATATTATATTATTGGTTTATAATTACTGGCGCATTAAAGTATTGCAGCTGGAGATAATATTTTTAAAAGACATTTCCTGTATTTATTTATTTTAGTTAAGTACACAATATGGTTTTAGGTAGCTTTATTTTTTTATTTTGATTGCAGTTCATTAAAAAAATGTTTACACCTAGTTTTAGTTTAGTTTTAGTCGACCAATAATAACTTCGATATGGTCCTTTAAAGTAGCTGCAGGATATGGTAAAAACTTCACATTTTTTTGACACATATTGCGAAATAATTTACGATTAGTGTGTGAATGATAATTTTTGCATCACTGAAAAAAAAGATTAAATAATATTTTATGTCTGTATTCAACAAACATGTTTTCTTTTGTCATCTTGAAGGTCAGAACATCTCTGCATCTCTACAGCACTTTTTCTCTCACATTTTATCAAAAAATTGCAGCTTCTTGCACTTCGGACTTCGATTTTAATAGTATTTCGATTAATTGTGCGACCCGAGTTTAAAGTTTTGAAAATGAAGATGTTCAGTCCCTCTCTCCAGGGATGCACCGTTTGGGAAATTCTGCACTGATGATGATGCTGAAGGTTTTTTCTTGGTATTTATTCGTCCTTTTGTACCCGAAATCCACATTGATACATTTTTCTGCCTTGCTGCAGCTCAGTCTGTTTCCGGTCTCACCCAGGATGTGAGACTCCGAACTGAAAACACAAATTGATTCGACACATGCATCGGCCACTGATAACGGGATATTAGCTGATCTATCGGTACATCCCTGTTGGATTCTGAATGAAAACAGTTTTATCATTTCAACATTATTCCATCATAAGATATCAGTGAATCACAAGAATGCAAAGTGCACATTAATTTTCTAGTTATTTCAAATGATATCTATCTGCTGATCTGTTTTTTCCAAGTGCTCTTACCTGTGGTTGTCTTCGTGAAGCTCCCTGATGCTGAGGAGGCAGAGCACAGAGCAGCTTTTATACCAGAGGGTGGATGCTCAGTGGTCATATGATTTCACAGAAAGTCTGAGAGAGCTGAGTCACTCCATAGACTGCAGTGAATGCCTAATGTGGTCCTTTTTTTATATATCTTTCACTTTCACCTGCTATTGAAAAAAGGGTGCTTTTGGGGAGATTTCAGAGAAATTATGTGACTTCAACCCATCGAGCTCTCTAAGTTCCATAAGTTGTGGTAAGATCAGCCTTTTCTGATGCTCTGAGGGGGGAAATTCTGGTATTGCTGCAACTTTAAGTTTATTAACTCAAAGAAAAGCATTAATCTATTAATTTGTGTCGAAGTATTAATTGTTAAGGTAACTTTGGTAAATGAAGTGAATTTGTACTAATTCCACTCAGTTAATGGAAGTTCAGACTCACTTTATTGGCCAGATATATGCACACATACAAGGAATTTGACTCCACCATGCCCTAAAGCATACCCTGCTTTATGGTCTGTTTTACTCTCAATGGGACCATCAGTTACTAGATGAACATCATGCTGTATGGAGGAAGACTGAAACT